GGAAATAGGACGTCTATATTAGTATTTGAAAATCCTGAAGTGACCTAAGTGACCATTTTGAGACTCAGCTATTCAAAGTTGTCACCTGTTTTTGAAGCTTATAGTTTTTTAGCGTTCTTCCTCCATTTCTATAGCTGTGCTGTCCAATGCAGTAACCACTATACACACATAGTTACTGAGTATTTTATATATGGCTATTAAGACCAAAGAACTGACTGTTTAATTATATTTAATGTTACTTAGTTAAAATCAACTTTAAGAAATCTACATTTCTTAAAGACTAGAGGCTAACATATTGAAGACTGCAGATGTGGAAGATATATATAGAAAGTCTAACATATGTTTAATAAGAATATCAGAAGCAAAAGAAGAGAGAATAAGGCAAAGGCAATCTGTTTGAAGAGATAACTCATTTTCAAAATTGACGAAAGGCACTAATCCACACATAAAATAAACAAAATTTAAAGTGAGAATAAAAAATCTTTTAGGAACATCTCAGTGATTCTGAAGAAAATCAAATACCAAGAGAAAAATATTAAGAGGAGAAAGAGAATAAAAGAGAGATTACCTTTAAACAAATAGTATTTGCTGACAGTTGATTTCTGAACTACAATGAAAAAAACATCAATGTGATAAAAAAGCTCCTATTCTATTATTTCTTACTCGGAGAAAATATCTTTCAAGAATGAAAGTAAAACAAAGGCATTTTAAGACCAAAATCAACAAAGTCAGCTTAGAACTAAAAATGCTTCCAATGGAAATTACAAAATGGCCACATAAGTAAGGTGAGAGATACAGAAGAAGCAAGAGCAAAGAAAACAATAAAAATGTGGGCAAAGCATAAGAAAAAAATTGTATGTAAAGCACAAAAAATTTTTCTCGTTCACTCTCCTTTTTTCCTTTATTTCTGTTTCTCTCAACAATTTAACAGTGTACTTCACATGTTATGTTGAAACTGTTTACTACCTATAGTAATGGATTTTGTACCTCTTTGATCAGGGGTCTGTATGAACGCACCCAATAAGAGCTCAACATAATGTTTGTGGTAAAGAGAAATAAATAAAAGAAATGGAGCAAATAAAGTTATCAACATTTTTTTATTGGGGGACAACTCATGACAAACTTTCTCAGTTTTTTGGTCTGATAATAGTTTTATTTTGTCTTATTTTTGAGGAATATTTTCACTGGGTATATAATTTAGATTTTCAGTTACTTTCTTTCCGCACTTTAAACATCTCTTTCCATGTTTTCTGGCACAATGCTTATTGGACTTTTTTTTGGATTCTGGAGACAACATATCCCAAATTTGAGTGAATACCTGATCTCACTTTAATGAGTAACACACACAGCTGTTAGTTCTGAGTAGGGATCAGTGTGAAAGGGAACTCTACAACAAGTCTAGGCTGTAGTGCTAGCTTCTCTTTAGCGGGTCTTGTGACTCAGCAGATGCAATGACAATCAACGAGCTTGTGGCAAATAGGGACACTGTATGGATAGGAGAATTATAGTGAGACCTACAGTTCTGAAGGAAATTCATTCCTTCTTCTGCAAAGAACTGTTTTGAGAAACATCTACCAGACATCTGATGTCAAGTTGATAAATTGTACTCCATCCATCACAGAGAGAAAATAACTTATCTGCACTGAAATAGATATATACTCTGGATATGAATTGGCCTTTTTATCTATGAATCTTCTGTAACCACAATCCATGAACTTATATAATTCTGTATTTATTAATTTTGCATCAAGAAACTCATTTCACAGCAAAAGAATGTGACAATGAGCTCACACAGGAAGCTCACTCTTCTTACCATAAACCTCATCACATAGAAGCAACTAGTTTAACAATATAGTACAATGGCCTACTGAAAACTTTATGTTGCCAGTTGAGAGTATGCATCCTGCAAGAATGAGGTTCTGTTTTAAAGGATGCAGTGTATGCTTTGAATCAGTAACCAACATATGCATCCAGCTCTTCTAAGGCCAGAATTCATGGGAACTGGGATCAAGGATCGTCTCATGATTATAACTAATAGCTCATCACTCACTGATTCACTCATAAGCTGTTGTTGTCTGTCTCTGCAACTTTGAGCTATGTTAGTTTGGAGGTCTTGGTTCACAAAGGAGGAATTAGGACAACTTGGTTTCCTCATTTCATTGAAAAAGGACTAGGGAGTTATTCTACAGATTACTGAGGGTGAAACTGGGTTGCTAATAAAAAGGGAAACAAAGAGATGCATGTCTGAATCCAAGGGATTCTCTAGTGCCTCACTTTTATGTTCATGTCCAATAGTAAGAATTAGAGGGAAACTACTGCAACCAAGAAAGTGCATGACCACTGAGGATTTAGAAACTTCAGGAATGAGGGTTTGAATGAACTCATTAGGGGAAAAAAAAAAAAAATCCTTGGTCAGTGTTAAATCAGTTTGTGGTTTTCCCAACACTTGCAAAAATAGTCTTATTAAATTCTCTCAGAGATGCCAGGACCAACCTTATATTATTCCTCCCTAATGGACGAGGTCCCAGACCAGAAGGACCTTTCTTCTATACTTAGAGATACCAGCACCAGCCAAGAACTTCTGCTTTTTCACAGCTTAACTTTTATAACGAGGGGCCCCTCATGCAAACTTCTAAATTTTAATAGTTTGAAACATTGGCTTTCTTCCTTCAGCCCTGAGTGTTGCTACCTCCAAGATACCCTAGTGTTCTCATTTTGCTTTTTTAGTTACCCAGTTAACAATTTTTTTTTTTTTTTTTTTTTTTAGTTGGAGTCTCACTCTGTCGCCCAGACTGGAGTGCAGTGGCCGCTCCCGGCCACTGCAGCCTCGAACTGCTGGGCTCCGGCGATTCTTCTGCCTCAGCCTTCCAAGTAGCGGGAATTACAGGCATGTGCTACCACACCCGGCTGATTTTTTGATTTATTGTAGAGATGAGGTCTCGCTGCCCAGGTGGGTCTCGAACCCGCAGGCTCAGGCAATCCGCTCACCTCAGCCTCCCAAAGGCGCGGGATTACAGGCTGAGCCACCGAGCCCGGCCAGTTAACAATTCTTAATACCTAGTTAATGATGCTTGGCAATAATTTCTCTTTATTAAAATAAACTGGCATTGTCATATCTCCTGACAGGACCATGACTGCTGCAAACCCAAGAGTCAACACTTTATCAAATATTTTTAAATTAAGCTGTTTGCCTCAGCTGACCACTTCTCCCCATCTGCATTGATCCCACCCTAGTCTAACTTCCTACTTTTCTCATCAGGACTCCTGCAACAGCCTCCGCTCTTGTTCTCCTAACAGTTTGCTATCCATAGAGCAGCCAGAGTGATGAAGTTTTGACAATGTTAATCAGATATTTCCTCATTCGAAGTTGCAATGACTTCTCATTCCTATTTGGAATAAAGCTCTAAATCCAAAGCTCTTGATGGTGTGTTCTCTTTCTTCTTATATTATCTCCCTCTACTCGCTCTTCTCTCACTGAGTGAAAATCATATTAACTTTCTGTGGCTTCTCTTGCATGCAAAATCCATTGCTGCTTGAGATCTCTACGTGGTTAATCCCCTTTGCTTTGAATACTTTTTCTTTAGATCATTTCATACCTTTCATCTTAATATTCTTCAGGTCTTTTCTTTTCTTTTTTTTTTTTGAATTGGAGTCTCACTCTGTCGCCCAGACTGGAGTGCAGTGGCCACTCCCGGCCACCGCAGCCTAGACTTGCTGGGCTCCAGTGATCCTTCCGCCTCAGCCTTCCAAGTAGCTGGAACTACAGGTGTGTGCTACCACGCCTGGCTAATTTTTTGATTTATTGTAGAGATGAGGTCTTGCCAAGTTGGCCTGGCGGGTCTCGAACCCACCAGCTCAGGCAATCCACTCATCTCAGCCTCCCAAAGCGTGGGATTACAGACTGAGCCACCGAGCCCGGCTTGGTCTTTTCTTTATCAGAGAGCTTCTCCCTGATAAAACAGCCAGTCACTACTACTATCTCCCTACACATGCTTTATTATTTTTCAAAGCAGTCTTACTTCTTAAGTTTCATTTATGTGTGTCAATTTTCTTTATGTCTCACTATAATGTAAGCTCCATGAGGACAGTGACTTTTCCCACCTTCATTACTGCTATTTGTTCAGCTACTTAGAACAGAGCATTAAGAAAATATTTTAAAAACTGGACTTATTTTAGGTATCTTTGACAAGTTTTAATTTATATGTTTGATGGCAATGTGGGAAGTCAGGTGTCCTGAAAGAAAAATGTAGTACTATACTTCAACAGTCAAAAATGGAAAGATATAGCTCTCATAACATAATGAGACTATTTCTTAAATAGTCGCATTACTATACTTCTGATTAAAACTTCAACTCAAAGTTAGAAGCAATAGAAACTTGAAAATCTCAACCATTAGCCTCTTATGACTAATATCTGAAACAATCTCCTATCTCTTTCTTAGCTTGAAAATGATTTTTCATATCAAATTTTAAGATTTGTTCCTCATATCTCAGATATCTAGATTTGCTAGAGAGACCTTTGTTCTCTGAAACTGAGCAGCTCGTATTAAAGCCTATTTAAAAGTAGTGATCAGATCATCATACTCAGGAATTTTCAGGAGGCATGTTGTGGTTAGGATTAGGATTCTTTAGTTTCAATATTTATTAACATATTATTTTGGGCTTTGTACCTGGATGATGGGTTGGCATACTGAAGAGAATATCCTGTTGCTGCCTCTTAGTTTCATAATCTCACGTCTCAAGTTCAGACATCTCATTGCATTTTTTTCTTTAATTACCTCTTTGGCCTCATGGAACAAGGTCAGACTTCTGATAGCACTAATTTTTTGGGGGTAACATAACTGAGGGCACACTGGTGGCTCTGATAACAACAGTGGAGGCTTCATGTTGTTGCTCAACTCTTTATTTTCACCTATTGGTACAATGTTTATGGTGGCAGTTTCACAATTTCTTTCAAGAGTTTTTCTACTAAAAGTTCAGATCTTTTGGAATATCTCATGCTTATCCAAAAATGGAAGAAATTTTATCCAAAAATCCCTTTGTGGTGGTGTCAGAAGCAGTAGTTACAGTGGTAGTGGTGGTGCCTGTTGTTGTGGTTGCTACTGTTTGGGGTGCCGGAGTAGGGACGGCAGGAGGAGTTGGAGTATTTACAGGGAAAAATGGAGGTCCAGGTGGATAGGGTATTGGTTGGAAAGGTGGCTGTGGATAACCTGTGTTGTAAAGGAAGGGAGGAGGAGGTGGTGGGATTCTTCCAAGAACATAGGGTGGAGGAGGTGGTGGTGGAATTCTCCTAGGACCATTGGGTGGAGGGGGTGGGGGTGGGGGTGGATTCCTTCCTGGAACATAGGGATAATATCCTGGGGCAAAAGGAAAAGGTGGTGGGGGAGGAGCCAGCAGTCTAGGTGGATACGGTCCCCAGGGGCCTCTGTGACTCTCACCAAGCTGTAGGGAAAAAAGATGCCAATAATTTAAAATCAGATGTTTCGCAGTAAAACATAGAGGTAATATACTTTCTGTGTTAGGCAGAATTCTAAGATGGCCACAAGACTCCTGCTCCCTGCTGGTGCATGCTGGCCTGACCTTATTAAGTGAGCCCTTTTAAAACAGGTTCTAGCGTCTGAGACAGAAGAAGTGAGAGGATTTACAGGTGCAGCAAATGTTCTTCTATTGGCTTTGAATCAAGGTGCCATTTATGGGGAGGACCAAATGGCCATACATGGCAGATGGGCTGTAGGAGCTGAGAATGCCCCTTGGCTCATAGCCAGCAAGAAAGTGGGGGCCTCAGTCCTACATCCAAGAGACTGAAATCTGCCAACAACCATACAAGCTTTAAAGAGGACTCTGAGCTGCAAACAAACAAACAAAAAACATACAGTCCTTGTAACACCTTCTTAATGTGTGAGACCTAAGCACAGAAGCCAACTAAACCAAACTCAGAGTTCTGGCCCAAGAAACTGTGAGATAATAAATGATTTGTTAAATCTACTAATTTGTGCTAATTTGTTATATAGTAATAGAAAACTGTACATATGTGTGAGTCATGAAATCTGAATGCCTACGAGGGAGGACCCAAAAAAACTGGAATTGTCTTTTTTGAGGGTGAGCCCCTTGTCGTACACTCAGAATTTATTCCTCCAGACTAAACAGTCAACCAAAGTTTTATCTGGAAGTTTTGAGAAGTTTGTACCATGATTTGCAGAAGAATCATCCCAAGTTGTGGAAAACAGGTGACAGGTTCTTCCACTGTGACAATGCACCCTGTCTTGTGCATTGACTTTTTTTTTTGTTTCCCTGGATGTAAAAACTCCTCAAAAGGAATGTTTTACCCATGTGGAAAAGGTGAAACAAAAAATGATAGAAGTAGTAAAAGGCATCAAAATCAATGAGTTTAAAAACTGTTCTGAGCAGTAGAAAAAGCATCTTTATGGGTGTATTTTATCAAATGGAGAGAGAGTACTTTGAAGGTGATTGAAGTTTAAAAATGTAAGAATCAGTATGCAATTATAAATAAATTCCATTTTTTGAGGGGTCTTCCCTCATGTATTTAAGAACAATATTTCTCTCTTGCCCTCTGAATACCTAGACTCTCAATAGTATTGTATGGAAAAGAAATATCATGGGCAAAAATAATATCCTTTGCCTGTAGTGGAGTCTGTCATTGAAATAAATTCCAAATGGAAGTAAATGCCATTACAAGATGAAAAATATGACTCTTTATATCTAATTCAAGAGTTCAAAATTGTTCCAGACTGTGAACATTAATAAATTGTGAAACAGATTATTGAACACCTACTTTGTGCAACATGCTAACGTGGGAGCCTTTTGGGGATATATACAAACACATCTTATGGAAATCTACAGACCGAGTAGTTCCAATAAAAGGTAGTACAAACATAGTGTAAAGGGAAATGGAGTGAAAGTCTCTGAATTTTCACACTAGCATTTGACTTCTGCCTCTGTCACTTGAAGGTTGTGTGAATGTGTAATCCTTGTTGAGTATCTTTCCTCATCAGGAAAATGATGTTCACAAAAGTATCCACCTCCTAGGGTTGTTGTCAGATTTGTTATGAACTATTACCTGTAAAGTGCATAGGGTGGTTCTTGGGCTAGGTAAGGTTGACATAGAGTACAACTTTTTAGAAATAAAAATAGCTAAAAAGTAGTACAAGGAACATAGACATTAGAAATTTAGAGTGATTCCCTTTGGACAAAGGAAAGATTAGAGATGGTCTCAAGGAGAAGGCGACATTTGAAATGAGGTGTAAAGAGTGGAGGAAAAATATGCAAATACTCCAGGATAAGAAAGAACAAGTCTCACTCGACTGATGGTAAGAAGTGCTGGTTGCTTGGAGCAGGTGGGTAAGGACACACAACTACAAACACTTTTTGTGGTCTTCAGTCTCGTCACCTATTTGCTTAGCCCATTATTGCCCTTGCTAATTTCAAGGCTTAGTGTTACCATAAACTACCTCTCTCCTTAATTTCTAATTGCAAGTCTTTACTGTGGTGGAAGGTATCACCAGCACTGTACCATCACAAACTTAGGGTCCTTCAGTGCCACCTGAAACACTTTTGAGTATCTTAGATAGGCTCTACCCGCTTCCCCAGGGGCCTGTCATTTTCCAACTTGATGTGAATTTTAGCAAAGCCCGCGCTTTTGGGAGGCTGAGGTGAGTGGATTGCCTGAGCCCGTGGGTTCAAGACCCGACCGGGCAGCGAGACCTCATTTCTACAATAAATCAAAAAATCATCTGGGCGTGGTAGCGCATGCCTGTAATTCGGGCTACTCGGAAGGCTGAGGTGGAAGGATCATCGCCGGAGCCCAGCAGTTCGAGGCTGCGGTGTCCGGGAGCGGCCACTGCACTCCAGTCTGGGCGACAGAGTGAGACTCCAACTCAAAAAAAATAAAAAAAAGTTCTCTACCTTGTCCTGAGCCATCATCCTCCCCCGTACGATAGCTTTCCTTCTGCTTCACCAAGATATTGCAAACAATTGGAAATGGACTACCTTGATTTAGCGGCTACACAGCCAAAAAGTCATTGATATCTAGATATTCTTTTTCTTTTACAAGTATTTTCTCAGGGACTTGGCTCTGCTAATTTTCCCTTTTACATCCTATAACGGCAATAGCTGCCATTTTACTGGCTTGTTTTCTTCAGAAAACAACTATTACTTATGCTCAACTCACCTTTTCTGCCCCAATCCTATCAGCTTTGCATCCCATCCCCTGAATTTAAATGGAATTACTTGTTGTCTCTCCTGTTTCTATTTTAATCTGTTATTTGTTTTTACCTGAATTATTGTAATGACCTCTTGATTAGACCTCTCAATTCTACATTTTCTCCCTTCACAAAGGAAATATCAATTTTTATAATTCCCCTGCTTATTACAGTTTCACTTTCAACTACCCATACCCTCATTGTTATCAATTTCTTCTTACCTCTTTCCTGCTGGGCAAAGCTCTATGAAAAGGTAGCCTAGATTTGCCAACTCCACTTCTCACTTCTTATAGGCTCTTCAACCTGGGTTTTGCTCTCAACATGCTAGTGAAAGTCTTTTATTGATACCACCGATGAAACAACAACAACAAATACCAAGGCACTTCTGTGAAACCAGGCCTCATATCTGTCTTCTCTAGCTAGTGACAGCTCTTTGAGATTATGGAGGGCATTTGACTTAAAGGCTGACAATCAAAAAACTAGTCAGGGTGTGGAGAAGTTCAAGACTTGAGTTTTAATTGTCAAGAAAACATATCCTTAATGTAGGAAAACATGTCACATCTTTTTTTGTTGTTGTTGAGATAAAAAAAATTAGCTGAAAGTACCCTTGCATGCTAAAGACATTCTGATATTGATCTAAATATTATGTAATTAAAATTATTCATAATAAATAGCTTTTCTTTCCTAATCTCTTAACCCAGTCACAGTGGTTAGCTCTTTTTCACAATTGGCTAAAGGTAATAAACTCAGTAAACATTATGAAAATACTATGCTAGGAAGAAATATTACCTTCTCAAAGGGTTAAAATTGGAGTTAATCTCTTATATTCCTTGTTTTAGGCAATAATTTGAATAAAAATGTATTTATATTTTAATGGAATTAATAGTAGTCAGACTTGCTTTGAAAATTAAATGAGATAATGTATGTAAAGAATTTGGAAAGTTACCTATAACAGAGAAATCACTCAAAAGATGACAGTCTGAATATTACTACTTATACTGCTCAAAAATATGCACACACACACACACACACACACACACACACACACACACACATATGTATATATATATCTGCAAAGGACAGGTTATCATTTACATTGCTAATATTCAGTAATTATTATTCATGATGAGTCATATAATTAAACTAGAGAAAGGCTTATTTCTATTTAAACTGCTTTTGTTAAATTGCTTATATTATTGGAAAGTTCTCTTGCAAATTTATTTTGTAAAAAATTATTATTTAGATAATTCAAGCCAGATATTTTAAAATAATATGATTTTTTTTCTCTAATATTCTGAGGACATAAAAATATTGAAAATCAGTTTTTTGATCTAGTTAGTAAGATGAAATATGAACTTTCAAATATGTCAGTATGTTGTATTGGCTATCAAAAATTATGTCCATCTATAATACACTCAGTAATATGACCATGGCCAGACTACCTTGCTGTAGAATGACCTGCTTTTATTCAAGTTTCTGAAAATAGATGGAAGAGGCATTGTTTTATATTTCATATTTTAGAATGATGAGTTTTACGTTGCTTACTTTGTGGAAGTCCTAGTTTTCTTCTTTAAAAAAAAGCTTTCATATTCTTTTATTTGATATAATGGATTCTATAATTCTTTGGTAAAAATTATTCTGAAACATTGAAATTAATCTATTCCTACTTGAAATTGAGTATCATTGCACTACTTTCTAAAATGTGTTTTTTTATTCCTTGTAACTTTGTTTGACATTGAGTAGCTTTAGTTGTTCTTAACCTTGTTATTTATACATGTTAGGCATTAATATAAATGTTTAATATTTTCTCAAAATTTAAGAAGCAGAGATTCTATTGGATCCTTGGCAAAATTCAAATTCCCAGGTCTCATTATGAGAGACTCTTATTCATGCTGGGATGAGGACTTTAATACCATATTTTAATTAAGAGATTCAGATGACTGGTGTAAATGATGTATGAATTACATGTTGAGAACAATTGTTCTATTTTAATTATCTCATTTTGTCAAGTTTACTTACTTGAATGATTGCTAGAGTATGAGAACTCACATACGTACATATCTGTATAGCACAGTCTGATTTTATAGACCTAAGCTGTCCAATATGGTAGCCATCAGCCATGTGGGGCTATTTAAATTAAATTAAATGTTAAATTTAAACACCAGAACAGTGTTTCATCAGTGCTTCATAGCTACTAATATGCAAGAAAAGGTAATATTATCAATGTAAAAAGAAATCTGAAGTAATGGATGATGAGAAAAATATGAAATTGTGGTAATGTTTAATGATACTTACTGTGAAACATGCTACAAGAGCCCAAAGGCCCAAAATCAAAGATGGTGGCTTCATCCTTATGGTTGCCCCTGAAAATAAACACAAAGACTGATCAGTAATTTTTAAAATTAAAAGGTTCTATTTGGAATATGTCTCAACACACAGGATATAATGTAGTATAGATATACTACCTTTGCATGTTTAGAGAATTTGCATAACAATATTTTAGATTCAATATTAACTTGAAGCTATATTGGCAGGCTTATAAAATTGACTATAAAGTGATGGAGCTAGTTTTTATTTCTTGTAAACTAACACTTGTAACTTGTTAACTAACTTGTAAACTGACTTGTAACTTGTAAACTAACACAGGAGAGAGTATCACAGAGTTGTTTGTAAAGTGTTCTGAGCAATAGAAATTCGTAAAGATTTTGCCTTTAGAAGTAACTACTTTGAACTGTACACTTATTTACATTTAAACACTTTGGTATTTTAAATAGAAGATACACTACTTTATAGATTTCGATAGACTTGTGTTTGAGATGTTAACATTTTAACTAGATTATATGTAATGAATTTAATTTCTTGGAACACCTCTCCAATAAGGTAAGGAATCACCCTTAGATGCAGTCTAAGGGGAAAGAGTCACATAATATATCTTTCAGTTTTCAGAATATTTTACTAAGTTATTTTAGTCCATAATGAGTGGTCTCAAAGTGGTTTGATACCATATATGAAGGATCAAAGACCAGGGAAGAGAACACAGAGGTATCCAGGTATTTACTTTCAATTAGCTCAGAATTTGAAATACATTTCAACTACCTGATAGCCCAAGCTCTAGGAAAGCCACTCCATGCACTGCTGTGCAGATTGGTTTCCTGATGGTCAACTCTGCTCATAGCTGAGTGTGTTGACCAAACAAGCAAGTCTTGAAAGAACCTTAGGGACAAAATTTCACTGAATATTCAATTATATGTGAATATGGCTACTCATTTAAGAGTTATGTTTCCTGTAATCCTTCTTATAAGAAGTTTGAAAAGCAAAAGAATAATAATACAAATATATTGTAGAACAATTATCTCTTTTAGAATACATGTTATAAATTTTAAAGAACTTTAAGGTACATTGGGGGAAAAGTTGACTGTGTACTTGGACTGATTTTCCCGAATGTACAATACAAAGGCTTTACTCTGACATGTGGAACTTTTCAAAATTTAATATGTTGAATGACTTATAATTTTATGTAAGGTAATTTTTTGGTGAAAATGAATATTCTATAAAAAGTCCATGAAATTTTATCTTTGAAAGTGTGAGAAAAAAGTTAATATTCAAAGTAAAAATTCTTCAGTTCATATATCTGAGTACCTACCTTAGTGTGAGGTTCCTGCTGAGGGCTGATTAATTTGCCAGCCAAGATGACCCTTGCCAGTTGAAAGATGACAAATACAGGTGAGAAAGGATAAGAAATCTCGGCTCTTATATATGTTGTCATGGATATCTGTTGGCAATAACAGAAAGTTGGACATAAAATAACTTCTGGATTGATACTCTACAAGCAAAGACAGGAAAGTTGTCACTGCCAATTTGGCAGTCTTTTTCTGCATTTTTTTTCATTTCTGAAAAGCTTTGACCCATTTGATATTTGGTGTTTCCTAAGGAAACATATATAGCATCATAATATCCTATCACCTCAGAAAAACAACACACTACTTCTCTTTATTTTATTTTACTTATTTATTGCTTTTTAAACTTCTCTTTCTTTTAAAGAAATTGCACAAGCTATACTACTCCAAGGAATTGTATTGATTTATCTTTTGCTATATGTTACTTTCCCATATTTTCTATTTTCTTTCAGAAAAACCAAATAATATAGGAAATAAAAATATTTTAAAATCGATTTCTGATGTGCTCTAGAGAGAATTTGTGAACAAAAATAAAATTAAAAGTGACTATCAAATAGATATTGCCAAATACTATGTGTGTGCATGCATGTATACACACACAAACACACACACACACACACACACACACACAGACATAATACTATGACTAGAAATGTACAAAGCATCTAAATCATATGGTTTGATTGTTTGGATCACTGTGTTATATATTGTGGATTTCATGTTATTTTTATTTTTTGGTTGAAATAATAAAATTGTATTACTACTTTGTACTTTACAGTTTCTACATGTCTAATTACTTAATTGAGTAACTGTTTTTGAAAGATGAGAAAAAAATGAGTGCTTGGATTACGATTTTGATCTAAGTTTTGAAAATAGCAAAAAGTTTTGAAAAATATCTAGTGGTGGGAAAGGGAGAATAATTAGAAGATTATTCTTTTTCTCAATCTTAACTGTATTTTATTTCTTTGTGCCTGAGATTGTCTTAAATTTTTGGATTATTTCAAAGACCAGATATGAACATTTCTTCAGGAAGTGTCCTTCTGCCAGTGAAGAAGTAATTGAGTTTAACTGTGTTTTAAAAATCATGTCAACCATGTGCAGTGGTTCATGCCTGTAATCTTAGCATTTTGGGATGCTGAGGTGAGAGGATTGCTTGAGCCCAGGTATTTGATACCAGCCTAGACAACGTAATAAGACTTTGTCTCTACAAAATCAAAAAATTAGTCTGGCATGTTGGTACATGTGTAGTCCCAGCTACTAGGGAGGTGGAGGCAGAAGGATCGCCTGAGCCCGGGAGGTTGAGGCTGTGGTAAGTAGTGATCATGCCACAGCACCTCCTCTTGGGAGACAAAGTGAGACACCGATTCAAAAAACCAAATAAGTAAGTAAATAAATAAACAAAAATAAAAATTATGCAAAATTCTTGATTATGGGAAAATTATAGAGAAAAGTTTTTCTTTAAAGTAGATGTCTATTGGAAAGCCACAGTCTTATATTTTGATATATCTAACCTTTGAGAATATTTCCTATGCTAGATGATCTAAAATCCCTAGATTTTACACATTTTAATATAATAATAATAAGGCATTAGTTAAGATGATCTATTTCTAAATTAACATAGAAAGTTCCACTTCCTTCTATGACAGTAATTCAGCCTGCCAAAAGACAAATGTCTCTTCTTTCTTGTTTTGAGGCCAACATATTTATCAGTCAAGTGTTTTAAATCAAGGTGTGATCTACAGTGTAATGGATCATTGGCTCTGGAGGACTTAGGGTGAACACTGGCAAAACTGAAAGAATATTTCTGACTGAATTGTGACCGACAAAGAATTTAAGCAAATGGAAGCACACATCTGTTAAAAAACAGGAACAGTCACTCAAGCTAATCCTTAATTAACTTATGGCATTAAAAGATCCTGACAGGATATGTACAAGAACAATACCCTAAAAGTCACTAATGTCTCTGTCACAAGATATTCAAGGTGATGGTAATCACATCATTGTTAGTGCAGAATTATGTGACCAATGAAAAATATTTTTCTAAAGATATGAACAGACAGTTCTCGAAAGAAGATGTACGAGCTGCCAACAGATACATGAAAAAAATGCTCAGCCTCACTAGTCATCAAAGAAATGCAAATTAAAACTACACTGAGATTCCACCTAACTCTAGTCAGGATGGCCATCATCAATAACTCAAAAAATAACAGATGCTGGAGAGGATGTGGCGAAAAGGGAACACTTGTACATTGTTGGTGGGACTGTAAGCTAGTACAACCTCTGTGGAAAGTGATGTGGTGATTCCTAAAAATCGACATTTCATATGCCCCTGCAATTGCCCTACTGGGAATGTACCTGGAATAACTACTACAAACCACTCTATAAAAAAGATACCTGCACATGTATGTTTATTGCAGCATTGTTCACAATAGCAAGAACATGGAACCAACTGTGCTGCCCATCAAAAGAAGACTGGATAAAAAAATGTGGTACGTATACACAATGGAATATTGTGCATCCATAAAGAAGAACAAAATCATGAACTTTGCAGCAACTTGGATGGACTTAGAGTCTATAATACTGAGTGATCTTTCACAGAAACAAAGAAC